ATGCGTAACCAGGTAGAGTTTTGGTGAGAGGTAGTTTGCTGAGTTAGCGAACCAAAAAACAGACAAAACTGTGAGCAAAAAGAGGAGAAGGCTCCTCCACACACAGCGGACAGCGGACAGCAGACGGAGAGGCAGTAGTATTGTAGTCAAGACCACTTAAAGTGAAACCAAGTCGAGACCAGGACCAGAATGTGTTGAGACTAAGATGAGACCAAGAATTTAAGAGGTTCACACCAAGTCAATACTAAGTCTAGACCAGTGCGGTTAAACCGAATCTGATAGTTTGATAATACTGGCTTGCCTGTGTTTCAGTGACTCTAATGACACTATATAGGAATGAAGTTAGTGAATATTTTTCCCTATCAAATTCCCCCAAATTCTCCAAAAGCTGTTTTTGTTTTTACAAATAAACTGTTTTAATATAACCAACAATTAAAGTGATGGTGGTGAATCTACACTGTAGTGTAGAGTATGTTTTTCACAATAAAAATTCCCTAAAACTATTCAAAAAATTAAGTGTTTTAATATAACCAACAGGAGGCCTCTGATGGCTGAACAGAATTTGATTGTAGACTTCACAATATGAGTTATTTAGGTTATTTTTATAGTAGGCTCTTTCTTTACATTGTTGCACTTTGTAGACGGTCCCTACACACCGGTCTCACAACCGGCTGCACAGATACCAGTGTTACTTGTCCAGTGTGTATGTATATGCGGGTAAAAGTTGTAGGATGGTTCATTCTGGCGAAAATTGGAGCCATTTGTTTTAACAATGTTTCACTATGACTTACTGATCTGGTCTAAAAAACAAACATTCTGGCTAATGATGTCACACACTGTTAAAATCTGAGAACGGCTGTAACAACCTTCACTTTAAAATTTACTTCCTCAAAATTACAACTAGTAAAATGGTGTTGTAGCTGGATGTATGCAAGAGCTGTAGGCTTTTGAGGACTGAGTCGGTTTCAGCAGCATTACACCATTCCTTCCGCTGACTTCCATTGTAAAATTTGAATCTTTAAAAACTAATAGAAAATCACAGAAATAAGTTAAATGATCTTTAAAGCACAAAGTGCTTGGAGCAAGTTACTAAACTGTCACGCTATATTAATATGACAAAAATGTCCTAATAGGATCTCAAAGAGTGCTGTCCTAACAGGCACTCAATAAAATAAATAAAGTCAGAAAAACTGTCAACTAGGATTTCCATCAATAAAAGAATAAAATGGCTGAACGTCACTTATATACCTTGTAGGTTTCTTCTTACCTTGGCTGGCTCATGAAAGCGGTCTACAAATTCTTCATAGTCCAAGAGTTCATTCTCATCAGTCTCAGCACAGGAGAGCAGGAACTCCGTCTCAGACTGGGTGTAGTGTTTGTGGCTTTCCATTGCCTTATGGAAGTCCCTCTTCGAGATAACACCTACGAGTGAATTTGTGAATCTTTAATTCTCCCTAATTCTCTCTAATTATGTAAATTATTAAATGTATTTAATTATGTAATTATGTAGATAGTCTATCACTGACAATCAGGATGAAAGAAAATATGATTTTAGAGCCTTGCCTTTTCCATCAGGGTCATATTCCTTGAAGGCATCCGAGGAGGTCAAATCTTTTAGTTTGAGGAACATGTCAAAAAATTTGAGGATCATCTCCACATTGTTGGAGGACTCCACCAACATGTCCACCATCTGCTTTCCAATAGTCCCATTCACCACATTACCTGCCAAAATAAAACATTATCAGTGAAGGAAATCACCTTAAACCACAACTCAACATAATGTATTTCATCCACAGAAGTCTTTGTTAAGCTATTTAAAATGCTTAACCATGTTTTCAGTACTCACTGTGGGGTGTGTCAGAAAGTTCTGCCTAGCCATAATCAGTTACCTGAGCAACAAACTAGCTTGTTCCCTAGCTTCCTAGCTTCCTAGCTTACTTTGGAAATATAGTATAGCTTTACAAATTTCTGTACCAGTGACTAATTGCTGCTGTCCACTTAAACTATGTTCACAATACAGGCCTTAATGCTCAGTTCCAATTATTTTTTGTCACATCCGATCTTTTTCTGTTCATGGTTCTCATGTATATCAAACAGCTGTGTGAACACAGCTGAGCTCCTAAACACCCACGTGCAGATTTAACTGAAATGCTTGTCACAATGTGGTTACAAAAATAACATCACTTGTGTAATGTGCAATTTTCACAGTTCCCTCAAAAACTCCTAAAACAATTCACACTTTAATATTTAATACAAATGTGCTCATGAATGTAAACATACCCTCCAGCATAGACAGCAGCATGACCACCATGTCTTTCTGCAGATCCATCAGTTCCTTCAGTAACTCAATCTGACTGGAGTCCTGATATGAAATAAAGAAGAAAGAAAAGACATTTTCCAACCACTTACACCTTCTTCAACAATTCCAGAAAAAACTCCGCCAAAGGAGGTTAATGAATTGATCATTCTCTGTCACAAATTAAAGTTAAGCCATAAAGACAAACTGTGACATAAATGTGATGGTGACCATAGTGAAGGTTGGTTACTATAAACTCAAAAAAAATTTTTTTTCTCTTTACTTAATGAAAACTTGCACACGGTGTACTTGACTAAGGTTTTTCCTATAAAGAACTTAAGTGACTTCATAGAAAATTTTGAATTGACACACAAAGCACCACTGACAGATGTAGTTTTATGTGCAACACAAAGGTCATGATGGTTCCCCCACCCTCCACCCCCAATTAAGGAAAAGAAAAGAAACAGTTATGTAGCAAAAGTCTCCAGACCCCAAATTCAAACTAGATGTTAGAATTACATAATCAGTGCCTAAGACCTCTAGTCCATGGCTGTACCACACTTTGGGATTTTAACTCACCTGAGACAGTTTCATCTGCATATGAGCGAAGACATGAAGAAAACCAACCACAGCATCCCAGAGACGACTATGGGCCAAACTCTGTTGGTTGCCAGTGCATGGACCCTAAAACATCACCAGCAACAGTCACATCACAACCAATCTGATGGCAGCTTCACTTAAAAGGAGCTTTCTGAAATATAGCAACATTTCTTAATATGTTCAAATACAGCCTCTAAATATTATAACAACAAGGTAATATTGATTTTCAAGTTGAAATTATTTTTACACCTTTAATTTCAGAAATAAGGAAACCTTCCATCCTGCTCAAGTTTAGCATCTGATTAAAACAAACCCACAGAGCCTGGGAGATGCCATGGAGAAAATAACTAACAACTGTGCACAGGGATTACCTATCCGTGCTCTCCTATTACTAAACCCTGCATGTGGATTACTAATTTGTGTCCTTGAGTTACACTCTTAGCATAACTTGTCATCTTATCCTCTAGGCCACTTGGATTTAATACAGTCTTATTTTGATCTTGGTCTGAAATATGTTGCTACTCTATACTTAGGGTTTTTGCTGTTATTGAAACCTATTATTACTACTATTGTATTACTGAAATTTATGTGAAATTAATATTCAAATTGTTAAAAAAATACATTTCACGCAAAGCCAAAGTTCACATTTTATCATCATTGCTGAGTGATGGTGGAAGACGTATTCAGATTTTTTATTATTATATGAAAGTAGCAATGTCACGGTGCAAAAATACTGCTACATGACTAATTATTTTATGTGAATTTGGTGTTAGATAACTGTTTCACAGTGACCATCTTGAGCATACATCGCCAGTTCAGCAGACTCTCCCTCATTAACACCCACTCATAACAATTTTTCACACAATGACAGATGAATCACAAAAGACACAGGCTTAATTTCCTTAATTTCTTAATAGTACCCTACTTGTGTTTCAGACAAATAATTATATAAATATATAAAGATTACAGAATTTTAGATTGTAGCTTTTTATTTTGGACCTGGATCTCAAACCCTGTTATGCTGTAAGTTTAGCAGTTATTTTCTGGAAATTGGGATGTATTATCCTATGTCATGCTCATATATATACAGTGTATATGTATGTATACAAAAACGCAATCCACACACAGACATACACACAACATAAAATCTAAATAATTTCCAGAAATCTGTACACTTTTTTTCTCAGTGGCACCTCCTGGGTTCTGTACAAACCACAGCTGTCACTGTGGTAAAGATTTACTGTGGACCTAACAAAATGCAACTGTTATAAACATGCAATAATAATACAAATAATAATATATGATAATAATATAAAGTCCTGCAAGTGTCAAGTCAACTCTACAAAATAGCAGCTTCAACAGTGATAATTGCAGTAGTTTGTCGCACCTGGATGTACTCGGTGAGTGTATTAAAAACCTGTTTGGCCACATGTATTGCTTTGGAAAAATTCCTCTGGCCCTGTTCATCAATAACATCTTTTCCAGAATAATACCAGTAGAAATCACTGATAGACTCCTGAGGAAGAGTGAACAGAGGGGTCAAGGGGAGTCATGGGAGGAAATGAGAAGAAGAAAAGAAATGAGATACTTTATGAGAAGACAAACTGAAGAGACTATTTTGAACTGTTCTGATTATTACTGTTAGTAGCAGTCGTAGCAAAAACAGCAGTAGAAGCAGCAGAATATAACTGTGGAACAGAGTGTATTGGCGGTGTGTACTGATTGGAAAAGCAATAAAACAATAAAACACCAGCAAAAGAAAAAGAGAAAAGACTATTAAAGCACACAACAACAACAACAACAACGTGGACTTTGTTTTCATAATTTTGGCCATTTCTATCCTCAGCTAGGATCAAGCCATTTACTGGCTGATGAAAGCACTAGTCCAAGAGTCCATTCTAATCACTCTCTGTACAGTGGACTACCACTGTGTCTGGTGGGTGCCAAAGTCCGGAAATTCTACATGTAGTGGCTTTAACTTGCTGTACTGCTACTGTACATGAGGAGTCACAAGATTATAATTACACTACACTGTGCATGGGTACATGAATTATCTGACTTATAAGGCAGAGTGCATATATACACAAGAGACAGAAAATAATTAATTGTAACAAAGGTATAGGACACTAGGTTAGGTAACAACATGGGCATAAAATAGCATCATAACTATACAAATAGCCCAAAACAGTGCCCCTAATAGACTGATTTTGAAAGAGAAAATACAGATTTACTTTAACACTAGACTTAGGCTAGTGAAGAATTCAAGTTTAGTTCTTTTAAGGCTACACAGAAATTTCCAAATTAACAAAGAATCTGTGAAATCAATGAAGACTCAACTCATTTAAGTTTTAGCTTAGGAAACTAAATGAAGCAGCAGTGATGAACAGAAGACGCTAACCTGGACTCTGAGGAGGTAGTCAACAGTAGAGATAATGATGTTGACAGTTGTATTGTTCCCCGTTTGTGTCCTTAAGTAGTTCTGGAAGTCTGAAATTGATATTGTAAAATATTGCAATGTTCAATGAAATAAATGCCTTAGCGGTAACATTACAATAAAGTACTGTTTAACATGTTATGCACAAGGCATCCAAATTAACCCACATAGAGGAAAGTTTATAGTGGTGAAATATATGGGGTCATCCTATATAAATCAGTATGTCAATAATGAGTATGTTAATCAGTGAGTTATTAAAAAAGTGAATGTTCTTTGACCATAAAATTGACATACTGGATGAAAGGAAAAAAATTCAAACTCTGTTGTGAATGTTCTCACATTCTCCTCTGACAAACCAGTAGTGCCATTTTTAATTTAACCATTACAAAGATATGGTAAACACTAGCGATAAATATGGATGCTATCTTAACCAGTCAACAACAAAAAAGTGTGTGAACATCATTAAAATTAGATTAGATTACCCAAAATTTAGATTCTCGGCCACATTTCTACATTGAATCAGAACGCACACCTGAGTTGTGTCCTTCACAGAGCAGCTGCAGGAAGCGGAAAAGGTCACAAGTGAACTCATCATCCTGCATGACCTTCTCACCTGGCCAGAGAGAAGAAACACACACACCCACACATGCACACGTATCCACAGTCAGGCACACATGCAGACACACATATGCACAACCACGTAGATATGCACAAACATACACACAAGAACACGAGCATGTGCAAACACACACATGAATGCGCACACGTTCATATAAACAGACACACATACACATTAAGTCAGGAACAGAAGAGACGAAAGCAAACAACAAAGGGATAGACAGACAAGGAGATGGAAAGTAAAGAACTATTAAAAAGAGATGGTGTTAATGTAAAGAATTCCCAGTTGTTTTCTTTCAGCCAGGAACAGGCGTATGGTCATAACACACTAATCTAATCTAACACAATCTTATTTGTTTTCATTTCTACATTCATTTTCTGGAGACTTACCCTAGCCTTAACATTAGCACTACTTGCCCTAACCCCTAACCCTTACCCTTAACCTAACCCAAATCTTACCCTAGCCTTAAACCAAGTTGTCACCCTAAATTGAGTAAATTACAAAACATGTGAGGCAGTCTCCACAGTGTGATTAATGCCAGGCATGTGTGTGTGCATGTGCATGCACACACACACAGCCATATCTTCCTCTAGTTGAGGACACCCACTCACCTAATGCATTGCCTGATGTGATCTGATCTTCACCAAAGTCACAAATAGCAACAAACACAATATTTCTAAGCTGATAATACACAGTCATGATCTTGAAAATTCATGATCATGAAAATTCCTCCTGAACACTGTGCAGGTCTAATCCACAGCTACAGGAAGCATTTGCTTGAGGTTATTGCAGCCAAAGGTGGTTTAACCAGTTGCCATTACTTTTTCCACCATCACTGTGTATGTTTGATGGGTGTGTTCAATAAAGACATGAAAGATCACAACTGTTTGTGTTTTATCAGTGTAGAAATATTGTGTTGTTGATATATGCGACTTTGGTGAAGATCAGATCACATTTCATGACCCATTTATGCAGAAAATCAGAAAATTGCAAACAGTGCCTTTACTTTTTCTTGCATTGCATTTATACATTGACTTCCTTTATTAGGTAACCTAACACTTAACCATAACTGTTACTTGCCAACACCTAATCTCATCTTAACCTTCAACCAAGTTGTCACTCTAAAATACAATGATTTACATGGTGGGGACCAGCATCTGGTCACACACTTGGATGAGCAGTGGGCAGCCACAGCACTTGGTGATGGAATGACATGACTTGGTCTTTAAACTGCAGCATTTTACAATCAGGACAGGACGTAAGCTCTTTCCATTTCTTTTTTCAAAGCTGTTGTAAATGGTTTGAATGAATATGTGTTGGTTGCAGCTTTCCAATGCAGACTCTGCAGAGATTAGAAATACTTTCAGGAAGTTGAGACAGTTGCTCTAACTGTGCTAAAATGCTGCTTTTAACCATGGAATGCAAAAGGAAAAGAATTTCAGAGTAATGAACATGAGACACTTCACAGTTACTCAATACAATAACAACATAAACACAGGTCTGAAATAAGACTGAAAGTGCAGTTTTCCCCTTTTTTTAAGTTGGTGAATGTGTAATCCTTTCTCATCTATAGATCAGTCCACTGAGGTGTCAGACTGCAGTTTTACTTATCACGGCCCACAGTGACTGGGTTTGTGCAGTCTTTTGTGGACATCCACTTGTATATTGCAAAACAAAAATGGATCTCTCTGCCTCTGCTAAAGCTTTTATATTGTAACTATGCATTACTTTGTATTATCAGGTTAAAGACAAAAACTAATACATTTATAGCATTTACAGTAGTGCTGCAGTGGTGCGGTTGTTCCTTTGAGCAATGAGCAGAGTTAGTGGTCAGCAGGTCAGAGTGTGGTTGCACTGGGCAGTTTCCAGGTGTGAATGTGCAAAACTACGTGATGTGAAACCAGGCCTGAATAATTCATAAGTCCTCCAAATTATACGACACATATGACGTCCTCTCATAAGACTGTCTCCTTAAATAGTGCTCCTAAGGTAGCGAGCAGAATTGCAACAACTCTTCCAACATTAACAAAAACATATATCGCACTACCAAGCTTTACGGACTCATGGAAACAGCCATAAACATGCTAGATAACTAGCAACAAGTTATTATAGCAGAAGACATTTGTCATGTGGTTAGGTTTGGAAACAACAACATTGGTACATTTAGGAACTCTTGAAAAAGACAAGACACACCCTGAAACTGAACCTGAGGGAAAGCCCTGTGTTTTGTGTACCTAGCTATTCACCACAACATTCTCCTATAAAAGCACTTTGTGGTTCTATATATTATGTCACATAACTTACTATTTTACACGAGTCATAATTACTACAGTTACTAGATGCTGCCAAACTACAACACGTAACAGTAGGTCATGAACCTGCTGGCACAAATGACGTATTGCATTGTATTTTTCAGTCTCATAATTAAAGGTGGCATCTCTAACACCTGTTCTACATTTACTAATACTATGACAATAAAACACACAACTGAATATTGTTGTAGATATGTTCGTTTGCAGTGTTGGGGAAGCTGTTCTGAAAGCACTGCTTTACACGCTACCAGTTACTTCACACTGGGAAAAGTTGAAATAAAGCAAAGTTACCCTATGGACAAATCTAGTTTGGTTAACTAACACTACTTAGAAAAATTGTTCAAACTACTTAGTAAAATAAAGATCCAAATGATACAAAATTATACAAAAATATAATTCAAACATTATAATTTATAACTGAGTTTATTACTTGAGACCTAAACCTGACACAGACAAAACTACAAGGAATGTTATATGTTTGTTATAAAAATACTGAATTTGAATTACCTGACTATAATTAAAACAGTAAGAATTAAAACAGTAAAGAAAAGTTTTACTTCCACCTTTAGATCATTTGACCGACTTGAGCACTGGTCTAAAAAAAATGGGCTTGTTGTGTTACTTAACAGTTTGTAATATCTGACTTGTACAATCTTAGCAACTAAAAGAGTCTACTCAGTGTCATGCATTTGCTTAAGTAGGGCCATGGTAATTCTTTTACTGGAGGTTTCTCGATGATATTGTTGCTGTGTGAGCACTGAGTATGCCGCTCTTTTGCGCATGCACCACACAAATGTCAAGTGTATGGTGGTGGCTGCCTGATGAATGCATTGCATGGGCATGCCTTCATAGTGGTTAGGATGAAAGAAAAATGGGGTGAGGCTGGTCAAAGGGGGTTAAACTACAGTAGTAAAGGCACTTTCAGGCTTATTACAAACAGTGATAAACCAGATGAGGGTGAAAAATAAAATAATGAGATAATAGTATGGTTACTCTTAAAATCTCAGCAAGTGAATCTCTAGTTGTAGGTGTGTTAAAGGGTTATGGAAATTGAAAGGCTAAGGGGTATAAATGTACATAAATGGTCCATCAAAAAAATCTAAGCCTGACACATATACACAGTATAAAGCACGACCACAGCTACTGTACAACTAAATCATGAATTTGAAATACAATATGAGAGTGAAAATAGCTAGTAAACAGAAAGAAGGGAGGAAGAAAGAAGGAACTGATCAGAGTTCACCCTCTTCATCTCGCCGAGGAGCATGGCCATAAACAGTAAAAGGTGAAAGATGAGAAATAACAGGACTACAATTTCCTTGTCAAACAATTTCTTCTGATAAATAAAAACTCTTTCATTACTAATATTTTTAATAGTGTATTGTCTTTGACACTTATTAAAATCTATCACATTTCCAACAAAACATATTTGCCTTTTTAGTTGTGTATACAGTAGAGCTGTCATTTTTTATTCAAATTTCAAACATGGTAAAAAAAAACAACAACTATTCAAACTATAAAGAGCAGTTTGAATACAATAATATATGTTATGTCAATAACCACAACAGGCCATTTGTTGTGGTCCAACATACATAGGACATTCTTAAAATTCACTATCAGCTTGACCAGTTACGTCCTGTTGACCACTCAGTAAAGTAAGCTAGTAACTTACTTTACGTATGTTTGCAAGCACAAAATGCAGAATAGTGGTGAGCAAAGTTGTGCTGATAGGACAATAATGATACCGGAGTGCTGTCAAGGTAAAAGGTTTGCAAAAAAAAAAAAAAAAAAAAATTTGATGTCTCAAGTAGAACAACACATCTGAGGACTTGCCTGCAATTTCACTTACCCAAGTGAGGTTTTAAGGAAATTCTGTGTATGTAACCAAGGACGCGCAAGCATGCTATAAAATTCAGCTTCACAGACAGAAGGTTGTCAGATTGCTCAGACTATTCTGTCCCTCTTGCAAGAGTTGGATTGATGCTATTTCCTGATCAGTATATCTGTTTCAATAAAATACAAAAGACTGTTGTGTGTATCCTGACACTTATTATTTCCACAGCAAACTTGGTGTCAGAAGTTGAACTGTGTCTAAACCTAAATTAGTGTCTAAACCAATGTAACCAGTCGTAACCTGGCTCAGTGAGTCCAACTCACCAGTGAATCCAGATCTGGGCTCCTGCGCCACTGCCTCGATATAGCCCTCATAAGCAGGACCAGGACATAGCAAATGCTGGGTAAAGCCAAAGAGGACAGGGTACTGGGGCACCACCACCCCCAAAGATATCCACCCCATGAAGCCCACAGTGAGCACAACAACTCTAGTGGTCCCAGCAGACAGCAACTCTGCCAGGGCAGACTATGATGCACAGAGCAAGAAACATTATGACTTCCATGAGCACCAAAAGGAGAAGATCGACTACCATAAAGACAATTGCAGCCCCAATAAAATGTAATCTATGCCCATGTAGGAAGTGGCTGGATGTGATGGGGCACGACCTCAAGTGTCTCACTGTTGTCAAACTGCCGTGGACATGGTTTGCACTCCATGACCTGATCTGCTGTCCACTCCTATACTGAATGCTGACCCGACATTGGTTGTTGATGGTTCTGCATCTAAGATTTTCAGTGAAAGTCAAGAGAAGAGCTGCCTGGATCAACGCCAGCCACTGCAAGAAGATAGCAGAACCAGACTTCTCTGTCTTTGTGCATGATACTCACAGGAGGGACACAGCCTTGAGAAAGCCACGGAGCCAGAGGGGACTATTCCTTCTTTTCTTTCTTTCTTTTTTTTAATATACATATATACTGTATATTGCCCAGAATGTAGCCTAAAAATAGCACATAGATGTAGCAAACATAAGGCACAGAAGTTCACCAACAAACAGTTCGTAAAAATGTTGATGTTACCAAACAGTGTGAGTAACATTAAATCCTACAGCATATTATGCCAATTTACATGAACCACAGAGGTCTCATGAGGAGTGCTTATGGGTGAATAGCTAAATTATAATGAAGTTGAGCAACTTTTTTGTAATCCCTTTAGCCTTTGGGTTATCTGCTGGAAGTTTATGCGATTGCAGGTACGATGTAACCACATTTCCACCTCTCACTACGCTGGCTTACACACATTACATCTAGTGTCTTGCTTTTTGGCGTTTCCAGTCTAAAGCATCTCCAAACAAACATCATTGTAGTACAACCAACAGCTAATGTTATTTGCTCTATTGGTTACAGACTGAAGTTGCCACAGGTTAATGGTAAAATGTGGAATGGAATATGGTGATGTGTCAGGTTACAGCAGGTTCATGGTCCAGCACAAGCTGCAGACTGGAATATAAATCGGTAAGCGGATCGGCCCTGTCCGTCTGATATCCAACAAGGGAATGATGTCAATATCAGACCTGATACCAACATAGGATCAGATCGGGCCCATCTCTAGACGTTTAATATTTGTTCCCAAGAATAGTAGAAACTCTATAGTGTAGACGAGACCGATCAGTGCTTAAAATGGGCCGGTACCCACCAGTATACAACACCAGCACTAGCACATTTGGCGTACCTTGACTTTTTGTATGCGTGAGACACACTTCTTACAAGCTGCCTGTAGTCTTTTCTGCTCTCTCCATAGGCTCGTTTGAGATTAACTGTGTTTCTCCTTGGAAAGTAGTGCTGAAGTATTGATACTTCAGAACCCAACGTTTCCTGCTCTAGTATCGATTCTCATATTCAAAGATCTAAGTTGTGACTTTAATAAGCCTAAATGGTAAATGCATATTTTATCACCAACAGGGGACACATTAGAAAAAAACTACGCTACCACCAGGAAAGTCTAAATAATACCCAGTTGACTGGAACCATTTCTCTTTCACAAACTTATGCGAACTACAAGGAGCCATGTGTGAGCCACTGACAATCAAAATAACAAACAAATATAATCTCCAAATATAAACAGCTTTGTAACAGTTGCTTAAGATTGTGGAAGTTGTGTGCTGTAAGAAAGCACTGTGGTGCAGTCTGAAGTCTCATGGTAACAAAATGGATTTCACATGCAGCTGCAGGGAGGACGGATGTAAACAACAACCAAAATCACATGTGAAACCTTCCTTGGTATGTAAGGACATATTCTCACAGCTAACAGTTGTCAATAAAAGTGGCCTGCCACCCCTTATAGAGACACCTTATATCTCCTCTTTTCCATCAGTCTCTGTTTCTTTTCCCTGGTCATGGACTAAAAAACACTACTAAAACAATAAAAATAAAACAAAATAAAACACAGAATTTCAAGGCAGAAACAGTAAAACACTTCCATATTAGGATACAACTAAAATAAAACAAGTTAAAAACATCACTTTGGAGGAGGTAAGGCAGGTTAAACACCAAAAGCTTGTCTAAAAAGGTGGGATTTTAGAGTTGACTTAAAAACCACCAGCACGGTTATGGACCTCTAGCGGTAGAGAATTCCAGAGCCTAGGGCCATACACAGCAAAAGAGCGGCCGCCCCATTTTTTGTATTGAGACAATGGGACAACCAAGGACTGATGTTCAGAGGAGCACAGAGCTCTGCGCGGAACATAAATAGACAGAAGATCAGACAGGTATAGAGGAGCGAGGCCATTTACAGACTTAAATACAAATAGTAGCACCTTGAAGTCAATTCCAAACTGGACTGGCAACCAATGTAGCGAGAGAACAACGGGGGTGATGTGGGTGTACCTGGGGGTGTTCGACAACAGTCGAGCCACAGCGTTCTGGACCAGTTGAAGCTTTATTGGTATATTTATTGGTATTGCGATTAGTGATAGCAGTACAGGCTTTACTTCGTATTGGATCAGAAGTAAATAAGCGGTTTCACACATCACTACTAGGAAGTGGGCGATGGCAGCAAATAATAATCAATAATCATAATAATTTGTTATAATAATTTTAAAAATAAAACAAAC